ATTTGCACCATTTTTCCCCTCAAATTATTAACCAGTAGTTTATTTGCCCAAAACCCATAGAAAGAACCTGGGATACAACAAAATTCAGTTTCAAACATTGCCTTTTGTTTTTCATTTTGCCTGCAAAATATTTTATGCAAGTATTTTATATTACTTGAAAAACATGCTGTCCAACTTCTTCCAAGGCACTTGAAATGTTATACACTCTAGTATGCTATGAACTAGGTCTCTTACCTTGATTCATTCATTCCCTACCTTGTCCCTATAAAAATGGTGTAAAATCTGTTTCTGTATTCTAGACTTTATTGACTTCTTTATTTTCATTCCAAGACCAGCACCTTCAGAGCTCTTTACAGTGTTGCATGTCTGTCCAGTCCAAATCTTCATGTAAGGCTCTGTGAGCATTTAAGTCTTAACACAAACAACTTGAATGGTGAGTTCTATCACATCTTCTCCATGTTTTGATTTATTATGTCATTTCCTACCCAATTACCGGAGTAACCACTTCTCTATGTGCACAACTATTCATAAAACTAGAAAGTGATTCAGATGACATTTATGGTGTACCTTTTCTCACTGAATATTTTTCCCAGAATATTATTCTCTATGTGGTTGTAAAAGTTGCTGCAATTTTTGTCATGGGTAAGTTGAAATCTCAGTGTCGTAGTACAACAAAATTATCAGTGATAAAGTGTAGTAAGAGGCCACTTGTTTGTTTTCCAGCTGCCTGGAAGCTCAGACCCAAAATAAACACACAGAAACTGTATTAATTAAATTACTGCCTGGCCTGGCCTATTACCTCTAGCTTTGTGTTGGCTACCTCTTACATATTAATTTAACCCATTTACATTAATCCATGTATCACCACAAGGCTATGACTTACCCAAAAATTTCCAGCGTCTGTCTCCTATGGGGATACATGGCTTCTCCCTGATTCTTCCTCCTTTCTCCCATCATTCAGTTTAGTTTTCTCTGCCTGCCTGTCTCTGCTCTACCCTATCACAGATCCAATACAGCTTCTTTATTAACCAATTCTAATCACAGAATACAGACGGGAATCCCACATCACCTCCCCTTTTCTGTCTAAATGAAAAGGAAGGCTTTAATTTTAACATAGTAAAATTACATATAACTGTAGCAAGCTGCATGGAATCACACCTGATGGAGATGTATAATCAGCTCCTGAGATGTCTAAGGCCTGACCTATGCTGTGATCACGCAATGATTATCAGCTGCCTGCATATGCGTGAACCTATGGGCAATGCCCACCTGGCAATTCAGGATTGGCAGCCCATGCCTACTTAAGGGCTGGGAGAGGTTTTGCCCAGAGAGAAGAGAGAAAGGGAAAGAGAGTGAGGAGAGATGAGAGAAAGGAAAGGAGAAGGAGATAGATTGCTGTGAATAAAGTCCTGAAAACTGCTGCAAGAAGAGCTCTGAGTGTTACGTTTTTCCTTGCGGGACGAGGGTGGCCGTGACATATAACAAAAGTTATCAAGCAAGAATTACAGTTATTATATTTATATCTACTTTATTTTATCATAACTAAGTACCTTTCAAAATTATTCGTGGCTCCTTGTGTAAACTTTTGTTATGTGAGATGCTTTAACTCATTAGCAATGAAAATAGTGCCTGGTAACTTGGGTGGTTTTCTTGTCAATTTCTACATTTCTCCCTCTGACAAAGTGGATTCCAGTCAAACAGAAGCTTGTTCATTGCTTTAACACTCAATGGGTGTGCATCTTTCTACATTTTTTGGTTTTCTTGTTGATGCTATATATTTATTCTCTGTAGTTGTTCTTTAAGTTTTACCTTCCACTAAGTAGAGGAAGGCATGATCAATGACTATAATTGTTCTCCACTAGGTAAATTGGTCCTAGGAAGGACCTTGGTAATTACTCTGTCTTTAATGAGTTATACAGTATCTGGACTCCTAAGGGATGCAGGGCCCCTAAGGCCAAGGAATGTCCACAGGTGGGTATGAGTAGTGTTGGGCAGATAAACGATGATTAGAGAGGCCACTAATTACAGTGCCTGCAAATAAATAAGGAGAGCAGGATCTTGAACCAGAAACTTTGACTCAGTCTCATTAGGTCTGGGTATATTCAGAAAAATGAGCTGGTGTCTTGTTGTCAATCCACATAAATTTCCAGTATCATGCAGGACATATTTCAGGTATGATAACATTAGTCTTTTCACTTTATCACAAGAATTTATCACACTGTGAATGTTTGATCATCATCATATAACCACTCTCATTTTGATAGCTTCATTTCAATTTCTTATTATGCAATTTTCTCTCAATACCACAGCTTTTCAACATGAGAATGGTGCTGTGAGATAGAGTTCACTGCTCCAGTGCTGAGTGGTTTACTATACTTTCCACTGTGTTGTCTCAGCAAACTCTGAACAGTGTCCTACCGAAGAGGATGATCCATTTTATCTGTACAAGTTCACAAATCTGTGTTTTAGTGGTAACATCTGTTATTTCTCCTAAATGCAGTCCATCAAGAAAGATATTAATATCTTAATATCATCTAGGTGCTCATGTAAAATAAAATCTCTATAAACGAAATCAGTTCCTCTACAGAATCAAAGATAATACACAGGTATACCAACCAATTGCAATATATCCCTTGGTATTTTTCTGCGTTGTTTAATTTGAGACTGGTGGGCCTCATATCTAAAGAAGGCATGAAGGCAAAGCCTCGACTAGCCCATTATTGGTAACAGTTGATGGTGATTTCTCTGGATTATGATCTATGTACACATGCCTCCAAAAACAAAGGTATTGTTTGTTTATAAAAGAAGCAGAAATTGGGAATAGTGGCATATAACTGTAATCCCAGTGTTTGGGAAAGAGTCAGAAGTGTTGTTTGCTTGAGGCCGGTCTTGGATACCTAAGGTGAGTATCTTTTTAATTGGTGGGTGATTTTTTTCCCCACATGGTTTTTCTTTGCCAAGCTAATCTGCAAAGTCTAAGTGTACAAACTCTAAATTCAGCTGCATTAAAACTGTCAGTCTATGAAGATACGTGCAGTCAGACTTGGTTGTAGCATTCCAAAGAAAGTTGCTTAGATACCTTTATGTTTCTCCTGTTTTATCAGCTTTGAAACATGTAATCACTTCACTAGTCAGTGCTATACAGAATCCCAGAATGACGTGTGTGTGTGTGTGTGTGCACATGCATGTGACTTTGGACACTGATTACATAGATTGGCATCTGATAAGGTGAACATTTGAAAACTCTCTATAATATTGGGGCCTCTGAGAAGAGTGGAGGTTATAGACTTCTATCTAAGGAAAAAATGCAAAAGATTTCTACAGTGTGTTGCCCCTTTCCCCTAATTCTTTCATCTGACTGAACGGACTGAATGAAGCTCATGTTATGAAATTTTAGTTGTTTTGCACAAAATCTGCAGATATTAATGATATTTATAGAATATCTTATTACAACCTAGAATTTTTCCAAAATTGATATCGGGGTCTAACCCACCTGAGTTGTAAATCAAATGGCCATGTCTTTCAATTGAAATGGGGAATTTTATAACTTTTAAGTTGAAGAAATCTATATCAGTTTGGGCACCAGGCAACAAACTTTCACTGAACAATATCATAATTTATAAGATACTGGCCCTAGTTAGAGATTAAAAAATATAAATAACCAAATAGAATTATGTCATATAAGATCTCTAATGCATGTAGATTACAATTTATGTGACAGAAGCTTAAAGCAGTGATTAAAATGATAAGTGCATTGGATATAAGTAGAATGATTTGAGACATGGATGAAGGTTTTACTTAGTGTGGGGAGATTGTAAATTTACCTGTGTAGGTGTTAAGCAATACCTTTACATACAAATGAAGATGAACCAAATGATGGCGGAGAAGAGGGAAGGAAGTGAAAGTAAAGTAGATGAGCAACTCTAAAATGGGGAAGGGGAAGAGTTTTAACCCAAGCATTTGTTAAGAGAAAAAAAGCAAATGTCACTGTGAGACAATATGGTGAAATACCACCGGCACACGCGAGAAAATGAAACAGTTTTTGTGTCCCTGATAGGAGCTTTTTATTATCCTCAGAGCAACAGTGGTAATGTGAAGCATGAATCAGACAATAGCTGACTGAACACCTCTGTTAGATGCATAAATGAAGCATGCTGAAGGAGAAGGGAAGCATCAAGAGACAAAAGAACATGGACATGAGTTGAATTTGCTTCTGTGTTCCAGTAAAGACAAAAGGTGATCCTGATATTTGAATATAATCTAATAGAAAGTGATGGATGAAATAGGTAGATAATAAAGGGGTGATTCTGCATAATTTGCAATACTAGTTCAAGATAGTGAAAAATGAATGGATAACATTCAGAGATTTCTGATTCAAACCTGAATTTCTTTCACTATACAATGGGAAAATTGAGAGGTAGGAGAATGAGGGATTCTCCGGAAGACAGCGAAGTGAAAACATTAATTTCATTCGGGGCTTTTGAGCTCCTGATACCTGTAATACATGCAGTGGGTAGAAGATTATTAGTGAATAGTGGAACAGAAATTTGTATGGTACAGAGACATATACATCTGAGATTCAAATGGTAATCTAAGTCATTGGAGTATGTGTGTTTTTCTTGAAACATATATATATATATATATATGATTACAAAGTTTAACACATTTTACAGTAATATCAATATACAAAATTACAGCAAGCTACAAATGAACAAACAACAGTTGAGCAGACAGTAGGAGAGAGAAGCATTAGTACCATTGGATTAGAGTAGAAAATGCATATATAGTCTTGAAAAGGATGGGAGATAGAATCATGCTAAGAACTTGAAAAAAAATCAATGATGATTATAATAATTAAAGACATTAGGAGATTGAGGAAATAGTCACTCTAATCATTGTCAGATCTCTTTTTGTACAAAATGTATCTTAAATATGTGTTCACTTTGTTTTTAATTTAAAAGGATCCTAATATTTCCTTATTCGGATACTGGATAATAAGAATGATAATGAAAAACCAAACTGTCATCTCTCACTTCATTCTCTGGGGCCTGCCTATCCCCCCAGAGCACCAGCACCTGTTCTATGCCCTGTTCCTGGCCATGTACCTCACAACTGTCTTGGGGAACCTCAGCATCATCATCCTCATTCTACTGGACTCCCATCTCCACACACCCATGTACTTCTTTCTCAGTAATTTGTCCTTTTCTGACTTCTGCTTTTCCTCTGTCACAATGCCCAAATTACTGCAGAACATGCAGAGCCAAGATCCATCCATCTCCTATGTGGGTTGTTTGACACAAATGTACTTTTTCATGTTTTTTGCAAACATGGAAAACTTTCTCCTTGTGGCTATGGCCTATGACCGCTATGTGGCCATCTGCTTTCCCCTTCATTACACCAGCATCATAAGCACCAAGCTCTGTGTGTGTATGGTAGCGTTATCCTGGGTATGTACCATGTTGTATTCCATGTTGCACACCCTACTCGTGGCTAGATTGTCATTCTGTGAGGATAACATAATCCCCCACTTTTTCTGTGACACATCTGCTCTGCTCAAGTTGGCCTGCTCTGACATTTTTATTAATGAACTAATGATATTTATCTTGGGAGGGCCCATTGTTGTCATCCCATTCTTACTGATCATTGTGTCTTATGTAAAAATTGTCTGCTCCATCGTAAAAGTTTCATCTGCTCAGGTTATCCACAAGGTTTTTTCTACCTGTGGCTCCCACTTGTCTGTAGTCTCACTGTTCTATGGGACAATTATCGGTCTCTACTTATGTCCATCATCCAATAATTCTACTGTGAAGGAAACAGCCATGGCTATGATGTACACAGTGGTGACTCCAATGCTGAACCCATTCATCTACAGATTGAGGAACAGAGACATAAAAGAATCCCTGATAAGAATCCTTTGCAGGAATAAAATCTCTTTATAATGGTAACACTGAGATTTTTACTTAAACTCCTCTAGTAAATATATTGAGAATAATATTTTAAAATGTATCCCTATAATTGTATCCACACAAAAGAACATACTCCATAATAATTTCATTTGCAAAAAGGAGTTTTGTAAAGTAATTCAGCTAGGCAATGGTGTTGGTGGGTGCTGCTCATTTGTTTCTGGGTTTTCCAGACCCAAAATAATTATATAGAAAATTTCAAAAAATACAGAAACTATATTATTTGAAACATTTATTGGCAAATAGCTTAAGCTTATATCTTAAATCAATCAATCTCTATTAATCTGTGTATCACCTACCATGTCCGACAGGCAGGGTTTTCATCCAGTGTGTGTCTCCAGCAGTGACTACATGGCATCTCACTGACTCTGCCTTTTTTCCTCCTCTGTCTACTTGAAATTCCTTCCTTGTTCTATTCTACTAAGCCACTTGCCAGAATAGTTTTATTTATTAACCAATAAGAGCAACACATACAGAAGGAATCCAACACCATTTCCTCATTTTCTGTACAAATGAAAAGGAGAGCTTTAACTTTAACATAGTAAAATTATATATAACAAAACAGGTATCAAGTAAGAATTACAGTTAAAATATTTATATCTACTTTATTCTTTATCATAACTAAGGAAAAGCATAATTATAATTGACTATTGCTCAATTCCAGTGAAGAGTCCAAAAGAATATAATATTATATGTTAACAGGAAATGCATGAGGTAACCACAGAGAGACATTTCATTGTACAGGCTGCTAAGCTAAACCTGCAAATAAAATTAAAATTATCTTGACTTCATAATTTAGGTCTAAGGATATGTTGCTTTGTAAAAGAGGTTCTACTTTTGTCTTCACAGAGGAGGAGAACCTCTGAATTTCCTCTGTGTCTGTGGTTATGTCCCCCTTTTCATTTCTGATCTTATTTATTTGCGTGTTCTCTCTCTGTTGTTTAATTAGTTTGGATAGGGGTTTGTCGATCTTGTTGTTTAGCCTACAGGCCCATAGTATCTGGCATACTTTTCCATGAAGCAGTAAATTTCAAAGACATTACTGCCTATATTGGCAGTCACTTTCTTCTGGATACTTCAGAATGTCTAGCAGACTCTTTCATAAAGCTGGAACCCCGAAGGATCATCTCATCTTTAGGGAAGTTCAACAGTCATTTTTCTGTGGGCCCTGCATGACCAGTTCATCAAGCAGTCCAGTAAAGAGCAGTTTCTTGCCAAAATTGATAACCAACTCCATAAGGAGTCTCTTAGATGCCCATCTTCTTCTTGAAGTAATTGATGCTGCCAGGAGGATGTGTGTCTCATTATCATGAAAAGTCCTAAGTTATTAAAACAAAATAAATAACATATTCTATAGTCTTTGAAAGGTTTTAAGAATGCCTATCTATCTGAAATACCTCTCTGTACATCTAGAAAATCTAACTAAAATGACTATACGCTTGACTATTATAGATGATTATCTATTTTTTAAATATAATTTTTTTATTGAAAAAAAAGATTTCCGCCTCCTCCCCGCCGCCCATTTCCCTCCCCGTCTCCCTTTTCCCCCTCCTCCCTCTCCCCCCCCCCTCCCCCCACTCCTCTCCCCCTCCCTCTCCAGTCTGAGGGGCAGTCAGGGTTCCCTGCCCTGTGGAAAGTCCTGTATGTCTTATTTATACATTACATTTTTAATAGAGCTGCACAAATACAATACCTTAATCAAGATCAGAAATACATATGTACTCTATAACAAAATTCACATTAAATTTGTATCAATAAACCAAGATCTATACCAATGCAAACCTCTATAGCATATCCCCATTTAAATATGAAGAAAGATTTATAAGATTTATAAGTGCTATTTGGGAATATGGGTGTAGTTTTACCCCCAAACTGTTCAGGCCATTTTGCTGTAAGGAATCCTATAGCCAATAGCCTTTAAGTGACCTGACCACTGGGATGTGGTACCTCATACTATTTATGCCAATGTAATACATGCATCCAGCATTTTTTCCTGCTGCAGGATTCATTTGCTGTTCTCCATTCCAGCAAAGGATAATGATTTGCGAGTCTATCACACAATGAATACCCATCTATTATTCTCAATTCTGAGCTAGTGTGGGATTTCTTTTAAGTGTCCTTCTTCATCTGGTGCCCATGTGGATTTGGACTCCATACCTACTGGGTGGATGGCCTAAAGGCCTAGCTGGTCCATGGCCCAGAAAGACTCCCCACTTTGCCCACTTGGTGTGCTTTTACCTAAGTGGTTTTTTGTAGAACCCCACCACAGCAGAGCTTACTGCTTTCAGCAAATTGGAAATTTCCCAAGCACATGCATGACTGCCACATTCCTTAGTGCAGTTCCCTGGTGAGGTTCCTTGCCACATGGTGACTTATACAGCTTCCAGTTTGTGCTGCCTGCACATGATTTTTTGGTTTCTTGTTCTGTGTATGAAATTGATTTAATCGCTTTTAATTTGTCAAACAAAGCATATTTCTCAGTATTTAACCTGTACGAAGGTAGAATACTAAAGGGCTAAGGTCCATTCCTGTCACCACTGCTTGCATTGCTGCAAATCACAACTCTACAACTATGACATCTGCGGGACAATAAAAAGATTGTTACACTTAAAACAATTTACAGGATCTCATAACAGGTAATTAATCAAACAATCCAGCAGACTCCTTAATATTGAAACTTTTAGTAACATTTTGCTAATGCTATGGATTAAATTCTGTGAGGCTTATATGGTTATGTTGATACTTCAATTTATTGGCTATTGGGACTCAGTTTTTTCTTTATATAATGGTGTAGGTGGTCCTGTTTATGTGTTGCTTTCATTGGTTGAATAAAGAAACTGCCTTGGCCTTTTGATAAGGCAGAACTTAGGTAGGCATGGAGTAGACAGAACTGAATGCTGGGAAGAAGGGAAGATAGAAAAACACCATGGAGCTGCCAGGTCAGAAATGTTGAATCTTTCCCAGTAAGCCACAACCTTGTGGTGATATACAGATTAATGGAAATGGGTTAAACTAAGATGTAAGAATTAGCCAATAAGAAACTAGAGCTAATGGGCCAGGCAGTGTTATAATTTATATAGTTTCTGTGTGATTATTTCAGGTGTAAGCCAATTGGGTAGCTGGGATAACAAGCAGCCCCCTCCTCCTGTTACAATTAAAAAGAATGTGGCACTTTTAGGAATGACACAGTCTTTTTTTTTAATTATTATTTATTTATTTATTAAAGATTTCTGTCTCTTCCCCATGACCGCCTCCCATATCCCTCCCCTCCCCCAATCAACTCCCCCTCTCTCATCAGTCTGAAGAGCAGACCTGGTTCCCTGCCCTATGCGGAGTCCAAGGACCTCACACCTCCTTCCAGGTCTAGTAAGGTGAACATCCAAACACCTTAGTCTCCCCCCACAAAGCCAGTATGTGTAGTAGGATCAAAAACCCATTGCCATTGTTCTTGAGTTCTCAGTAGTCCTCATTGTACGCTATGTTCAGTGAATCCGGTTTTATCCCATGCCTTTTCAGACCCAGGCCAGCTGGCCTTTGTGAGTTCCCGATAGAACACCCCCATTCTCTCAGTGTGTGAATGCTCCCCTCGCGGTCCCGAGTTCCTTGCTTGTGCTCTCTCTCCTTCTGCTCCTGATTTGAACCTTGAGATTTCAGTCCGGTGCTCCAATGTGGGTCTCTGTCTCTTTTCATCGCCTGATGAAGGTTAATATCCAGGAGGATGTCTATATGTTTTTCTTTGGGTTCTCCTTCTTATTTAGCTTCTCTAGGATCTCTAATTATAGGCTCAATGTCCTTTATTTATGGCTAGAAACCAACTATGAGTGACTACATCCCATGTTCCTCTTTTTGGGTCTGGCTTACCTCACTCAGGATAGTGTTTTCTATTTCCATCCATTTGCATGCAAAATTCAAGAAGTCCTTGTTTTTTACTGCTGAGTAGTACTCTAATATGTATATATTCCATACTTTCTTCATCCATTCTTCCACTGAAGGGCATCTAGGTTGTTTCCAGGTTCTGGCTATTACAAACAATCCTGCTATAAACATAGTTGAGCATATATTTTTGTTGTATGATAGGGCATCTCTTGGGTACATTCCCAAGAGTGGTATTGCTGGGTCCAGGGGTAGGTTGATCCCGAATTTCCTGAGAAACCACCACACTGCTTTCCAAAGTGGTTGCACAAGTTTGCATTCCCACCAGCAATGGATGAGTGTGACCTGCTGCAGCAATGGAATACCCATATTAACATTCCTGCTGTTCCCAAAACTCATAGTTTTGGGGAATGATATAATGCATAAAACTCAAGTCCAAATGGATTAAAGACCTCCATGTTAATTCGACCACACTGAACCTGATAGAAGAGAAAGTGGGAAGTAGCCTGCAACACATGGGCACAGGAGATCATTTCCTATGTATAACCGTAGTAGCACAGACAATGAGAGCAACAATGAAAAAATGGGACCTCCCGAAACTGAGAAGCTTCTGTAAAGCCAAGGACACTGTCACTAAGACAAAAAGGCAACCTACTTAATGAGAAAGATCTTCACCAACCCCATATCAGACAAAAGTCTGATCTCCAAAACTCAAGAAACTAGACACTAAAATTCTAAATAACTTGATTAAAAAGTGGGGTACTGAACTGAACAGAGATTTCTCTACAGAAGAATTTCAAATGGCCAAAAGATACTTAAGAGCATGTTCAACTTCCTTAGAAATCAGGAACATGCAAATCAAAACAAATTTGAGACACCATCTTAAACCTGTCATAATGGCTGAAATAAAAAACACCTATGCTGGAGAGGGTGTTGAGTAAGGAGAACACTCACCCATTGCTGGTGGGAACGCAAACTTGTGAAACCACTGTGGAAATCAGTGTGGTGGTTTCTCAGAAAATTGGGAGTCAACCTACCTCAAGATCTAGCAATACCACTCTTGAGAATATATCCAAGTGATGCCCAATCATAATACATAAGCA